GGGTAGGCGAAGCCCGGGGAGCGTTGGTTATACAAGTGACAGCATCCAAGAAAACGTCTGGGAACGACCATCGTGGGTTCTCTCTGCCACTGACGTGTCTCTCTCCTAAGATCTCCTGTCAGGAAGTGCCAGCAGGGCAATGCCCTGTTGATAATCCTCTGGGGTCTTATAAGAGCTCCACTCAGAAGACTGGCCGGACCCAGCCTGGGCCTCCGATTCTGGCCGTGGGGGAAGGGACTGGAGCCCGGGAGATAAGACCCGCCTAGCAACTGTTGCTAAAGGCAAGTAGCCTTTGTTATCAAGCATTAGTAACACAATAGGAGGCTGAGCAACCAGGATAGTCCATCAACATCATCCCAGGCCCTGAATTAGCCCCACAAGCAAGAAGGGGGAGGTTGTGCGGCTCAGCAAAAGAATTCCCGTGCAGTCGGTTTTTAGTTGTTAATGTGCTGATGGCTCCCCGACTCTGGCTAATGGGGGGCATTAAGGCATAGACTCTCTATTGCAAGAGGCCTTTGTTCCAGGGTCAGAGCAGAACAAATGGTCAAATCCCATCCCCCTCAGCCTCTCCAGAATCCCAAATCCCAGCAGCCCTCCACCTTCTAGGGGGGTGGGGGGTGGGCAGAGTGGGACAAGAGGTTAGCAGCGAGGCAGGGTCCCCAAGCGGGATGCCCCGGAGCCCACTCCTCAGCGGGGTAAGAAGGAAAGAGCCCCGCCGGAAAAGGGGAGGGATGGAACCAGAGACTACTGTGTTCCCTCCAGCTTCTCAGCATCTTCCCTAAATGCTTCCCTGCCGGGCTCGAGATGAAAGTCACAGCCCTCACGGCGACCAAGACCCAAAGCCTCCGTGATTTCCCCCTCCCTCCTCTCCCCTCCGCCCCCTAAGGCGCCCAGGGCTCTGCCAGGATTGATGGGCTACCTCCCCCAGGCTCCACACCGAGAAAGTCGCCAGGATTGCGCAACAGGAAGCGGCCCCTGGGCACCACTCTCGGTGAAGCATCAGCTCAGCCAGTCCTAGGGGCTCTCTTTCCCCTCCGGAAGGACAAGACTCGAAGCCGGATGCCCTCTCCAGCAGCTCCTTTTGAGATTGATCAAGCATGGCTTCCTCAATGCTCATAAAATCCAGCACCCTGGCCTCTATCCAGTCCTTACCACCAATGTGATCTTGGTCGAGCTCTCTGACCTTCCCAAGCCTCAGTTTCCACGTCGGTAAAACGCAAGCTTGCTATGCAGCTCAAGTGCTTTGGAAAGGTCAAGGTGAAGAAGGCCCTCGCTCCAAGTGTGGTCTGGGTCAGATCATCTGCATTAGAATCACTGGGAGGAGGGGAAGAGGCTAGTTAATTTTGCAGCTTCCTGACCCTACCCAAGAGCACAGAATTAGAATCCTGGAAGGTGGGGCCCAAACATGAATTTTAAAGAGCATCTCCAGATTATTCATATGAACAGCCAAGTTTGAGGACCACCATCAACAAGCATGATTATCACTACTGGTGCCTCTCGGCAGTGTCGATGTGGTGGCAGTCTGAAATATCTCACAATCTGACATAAATAAAGAGGCAACAAATACTGGGTGCTGGAAATCCACATTACCAGGAGACAAAGGCGGAGATGTGGACTGTCACAGTCCTGGGTCAGGGGTGAAGGAGGGGTTGGCGGACCTACAAACCAGTTTCAGTGGAACCAAGAGGAAGACTGGCTTAGATGGGATGGAGCCCATGCTTGGGGAGAAAAGGATTTTCCAGGCCAAATCATGGGAATAGATTGTTCTAGGAAGTGCAATTTCTTCCACCTCACATAGGCTAGGCCCAATGCCAGCTCATCTCTTTTAGAAATTCTTCTCTTTTTTTTTTTTTTTTTAAGATTTTATTTATTTGACACAGAGAGAGCACAAGCAGGGGGAACAGCAGAGGGAGAGGGAGAAGCAGGCCTCCAGCCAAGCAGGGAGCCCGATGTGGGGCTCGATCCCAGGACCCTGGGACCATGACCTGGGCCAAAGGCAGATGCTTAAGCAACTGAGCCACCCAGGCGCACCTAGAAATTCTTCTCTTAATAGGTGGATGGACCCTCGCTTCCTGTAAAAGGATCATTTGTGTCCAGTCTTATCTACAAAACTGCTGAAAGCTCTACTGGAGGACAAAGGTCAGCCCCACTGCCCAAGAACTATACTCAGAGCTTTAACTACCAAACAAGCAGGCAGATCCTGAGGGAGATAGGCACCCTTAGCTGAGAGCCAACTCTTCAGGACGCTTCAGGACCCTCCAGGGCCCGCCTTGAGCTAACCTCAGGAAGGGTATTAACATATCTAAGGGGAAAGGTGGGTCGGTCCTGAGAGTTGAGCCTTGAGGAACCTTGGTCTCAGATGGAGGGAAAGGGAGCCCTGACCCACAAACTAGAATTACTGGTTCTTGGGACAGGTGTATCCTTCATCAGAGGGTGGGTCCTTGAACACTTGAGATCAAACTGGGGGTAGTAAAATCAGTTTAGGAATCCCAACAAGAATTAAACAATTTTTTAGAATACAAAAATATCAGAATCTCTGTACACTGCGTTGTTTCATAAAATTTTTCATAGATACATATGGATACATGTGGAAACATTGTCTTCAGTAAAGGCAATTTATCGTAGCATTCCCCTCCCCCCACCCCCACTCCCCCGAGAAAGGGGATAATTTTCATCAGATTTTCCAAAGATTAAGTACACTGTTACGGACTCTCTTAAATTCTCAGAGCCCAGTGACAGGGCTTTTTAGGGCTCTGGCTCACCAACATCCTTCTGGCTATAACTTGGCTTCAGGAAAGGCTAAGATTTGCCTTCAAGGAGAGAGAACTTCCCGGTCAAGAAACGTAATAGTGTCTGGTCTAATAGTTTTCTCCAAAAACCAGCATTCTGACTTTCTTTTTTTTTTTTAAAGATTTTATTTATTTATTCATGAGAGAGAGAGAGAGGAGAGAGGCAGAGGGAGAAGCAGGCTCCTCGCCAAGCAGGGAGCTCAATGCGGGACTCGATCCCAGGACGCTGGGATCATGACCTGAGCCGAAGG